AGTTCTTGAGGTGGGAGCTTAGATTATTGATTTGAGACTTTTTTCTTTTCTAATATATGCATTTAATGCTACAGATTCCTCTCTCAGAACTGCTTTAAGTGTGTCCTTCAAATTTTGATACGTTATATTTTCATTTTCATTCAGTTCAATGTATTTTTTTAAATTTCCCTTGAGATTTTCTGTTTGACTCATGAACTAGAAACAAATATGCTATAATGTTAACAGTAGTTAATTCTCATATGAATGGTTATTGTTTCCTCTTTTGTTCTTTTCTTTATTTTCAAATTTCTGAAAACAAATTGACTATTGCTCTTGCTTAAATAAAGATCACAAGAAAATTCAGACATCATTAACAAACATGTTTGTTATTCTACTGCTTGGTAACCACTGGCAGTAGTTAAGATGTCTCTAAGTGAAATAAAACTTTTATTTTCCTTTGTCTTGCTCCCACTCATTCCAAACCAATTTTTCCTAACACCATAGTAATAGCTACCATTTGTGGGTTGAAGTATCTCGAGGTAAAGGTGAGAGTAAATGAAGGTGCCTACTCCAAGTGGGTTCAGTGACCTTGAAATAAGGAAGCAGGATCATCTGCCAAATTGCTGGCTGCTATTGTAAAGATTGTCTGGGATCAAGAAAAGGCACTAAGAAAGCCTCTTTTAAATTTCACACACATATGCTTTTGAAATTCATAAATGATATAAATGATATTAATGTGAATGCAGAAACCATGACCTTTTTTGGGATTGTTTGCGTTTGAACATTTCAGGGTACAAGTCAGAGACAGAGAAATCAAAGTTAACATCTTTGATATGGCTGGACATCCCTTCTTCTACGAGGTAAGAAAGATTTTTTGAGAAAACCAATATTATTGGTGGTTTTGGGGAAAGATCCTGAATTATCTGAAACAACCAATATTCAAATTATGTGTAAAATTAGGTAAATTTAGCTCAGATAACCTGTTGATCTTGTATGCTATCCCCCGAAACAGGGGTAGGAAATTTCATTGCTAATGTTTCAAACACTTAGATAAGAAATTTTAACTTTCAAAGGTCTTTTGCTTTTTACTTCATACTTTAGTCCAAAATGTGAAAGAATAATTACATTTATACTTGGGCTTAAGAACTCAGTGATGTGACTTCTTTCACAGTAGGGTACTGGAGTGATCTTTCCTGTTCACTCCTAGTCATGTGCCTTCTTTCTCCAGAAAAAGCTAAAGCAACCCCACTTTGTTTACTTTGATCTGCTTATCGATCCTAAATAATCCCAAAGTGGATCTCATGGCCATTCTTTTTGTTTTTCCTTCTTGGACTTTTCATTTTCCCTGAGGAGGCTGTTTGTTCTTTTCTATGGTTTGATCATTTCACTTCTGCTCTTCTCTTTATTATTTCCTTCCTCTGCTTGCTCTAGGATTATTTTGCTCTTTCTGTTCTGAGTTCTTGAGGTGGGAGCTTAGATTATTGATTTGAGACTTTTTTCTTTTCTAATATATGCATTTAATGCTATAGATTCCTCTCTCAGAACTGCTTTAAGTGTGTCCTACAAATTTCGATATGTTATATTTTCATTTTCATTCAGTTCAATGTATTTTTTAAAATTTCCCTGGAGATTTTCTGTTTGACTCATGGACTATTTAGAAGTGTGTTGTTTAGTTTTCAAGTGTTTGCAGATGTTCCTGTTATTTTTCTGTTACTGATTTCTGGTTTGATTCCATTGTGATCAGAGAACACATTCTCTATGGTTCTAATTCTTTTAAATTTGTTAAGGTTTTTTCATGGCTCAGGATATGGTCTATCTTGATATATGTTCCATGGGCACTTGAAAAGAAAGTATATTCTGCTGTTGTTGATGGAGTGTTCTATAAATATCTATTATATCCTGTTGGTCAATGATGATGTTGTATTCTTCTGTAGCCTTGCTGATTTTCTGTTTAATTGGTCTAGCATTGCTGAGAGAGGGTGTTGATGTTTCAGACTATAATTGTGGATTTGTGTATTTCTCCTTTTAGTCCTATTACTTTTTGCTTCATATATTTTGCAACTCTTTTGTTTGGTGCATACACATTTAGGATTACCATGTCTTTCATTCTATATTTTATTTTTTTGTTTTTTTTTTTTTGAGACAGAGTCTCACTCTGTTGCCCTGGCAAGAGTGCCGTGGCGTCATTGTAATACACGGAACCTCAAACTGCTGGGCTCAAGCGATCCTCCTGCCTCAGCCTCCCGAGTAGCTGGGACTACAGGCATGCGCCACCATGCCCAGCTAATTTTTTCTATGTATTTTTAGTTGTCCAGCTAATTTCTTTCTGTTTTTAGTAGAGATGGAGTCTCACTCTTGCTCAGGCTGGTCTCAAACTCCTGCCTCGAGCAATCCTCCAGCCTTGGCCTCCCAGAGTGCTAGAATTACAGGTGTGAGCCACCACACCCAGCCTATAATTTTATCATTATATAATCTCCCTCTCTATCTCTGATCAATTTCTTTGCTCTGATGATCTACTTTATCTGATACTAATATAGTCTATTTTGCTTTCCTTTGATTGGTGTTTGCATGATACATCTTTTTCTATCCTTTTACTTTCAACCTGTTTGTATCGTTACATTTGAAGTGACTTTCTTGTAAACAACAGATAGTTGGATCACCTTCTTAAATCATTATGCCAATTTCTGTTTTTTAATTGGTATATTTAGGTCACTTACATTTAATATAATTATTGATATGCCAGGAGTTAAGCCTTCCATTTTATTTTTTGTTTTCTGTTTAATTCTCTGTTTTTCATTTCTCTGCTTGCTTTTTCCTGCCTTCCTGTGGGTTACTTGAACACTTTTTAATTCCATTTTGATTTGTCTATAGTGTTTTTGACTAAATCTCCTACTATAGCTTTTTCAGTGGATGCTCTAGGTATTGTATCACATTCTACTGGTGTTATCAATTTTACAGTTTGAATGTTCTATAGAAATCTTTCCTCCTCTTAGTCCCTTTATCATTCCCCATTTATAATATAATTGTTTTAAATATTTTCTCTGCACGCATTTAGAATCATATTAGACAGTGTTTAATTTTTGTTTCAACTGTCAAACGGATTTCTAAGCAAATTTGGAAAACTTAAGGGAAGGAAAGCATATTCACCAGATCTTTGTTTACTCTGTTCTTTTGTTCTTCCTAATGTTTCAAGGTTCCTTCTCTTATCATTTCCTTTCTGTTTAGATAACTTGCTTTAGCCATTCTTTAGAGTAGGTCTGCTGGGGACAGATTTTCTTAGTTTTCCTTGATTGAGCTTGATTGATAATGTCTTGATTTCCTCTGCATTCCTGAAGAATGTTTTTGCTGGGTATAGGGTTCTGGGTTGATAGTTCTTTTTTCTGAGTACTTGAAAAATATTGTGCTTCTTCCCTCTGGCCTCCATGGCTTCTGATGATAAATCTGCTATCATTTGGAATGGTTTTTTTCCCCCATAAGAGAAGTGTCTTTTTCTCTGGCTGCTTTCAAGACACTTTGTCTTTAGTTTTTAGAGGTTGCTATGCGTTGGCTTGGATTTCTTTGGGTTTATCCTGTTTGAGATTTTCTCAGCTGCTTAAATCTGTAGGTTTATGTCTCTTGCTACTTTAAAAAAGTTTTCAAGCCATTATTTCTTTGAATACTTGTTCAGCCTCCCCTTGTTTCTCCTCTCCTTTCTGAATTCTGATCGTTTGTTCTAGTCCAACAGGCTAAGCTGGACAGGCTAAGGCTTGGTTCTTTTTAAGGCTTTTTTTTCTTTCTAATATTCAGATTGGGTAATTTTTATTATTCTGCCTTCTATAATAGTTCATTGATTCTGTCTGCTGCCCCTTCTATTCTGCTTTTGAGCCCAACCTCTAAGCTTTTTATTTCCATTATTCTTTAGTTCTAAAATTTCCACTGAGCCTCTGTTGGAGTTGGTGGGGTTGAGGAGACAGTTTTTTCCTGAGGTATTTGGCTGGAGTAGAGTGGTTATAGTCTATAAAGTTTTTTTATCTTGCTAAGCTGCCTGCCCCTCTCCTGGTCCTTTGGCTAAAGAGATTAGGCTTTTGTCAGGGTTTTTTTCTGCACCTGTTGGCATTTTTGATTGTACTTCTTCAGCTCCAAGTCTTGGATATACAAAGCAAAAGAAAACTCAGGGACCTCACCATCACATCCTTCCTTGCGTCCTAAGATCTTTAACTTATCTGCCACCTCGTCTTCACCTTTCAGGGTTTTTTTAGTGTATGTTTTGTGTATAATGTACTTTTCCCTATTCCAGGAGGAATAGGGAGAAGTACACCTGCTCCATCATCCCAGAGTAAACAGGCTGTTTAATCTTCCACCTTGTGAATATATCCAAATATTTAGATTAAATGAATTTCTTTTAAATGTAAAGCCTTATAGTGGGTTAAATCAATTTTACAAGTATAGAATATTGTCAGTGAAAAAGGAATGAAGCTCTAGTTGACCACAAGTTTGACATAGATTCTTACTACCAGAAATGCTAAGTAAATCTTAGATTACACCAAAGTCATGTAAATGGAGATGCCTGAGAATTAATGTCCAGATCCCTGCCCGTTATAAGATTTCTTTCTGCAGCATTCTTCATCAGTGGTCATCATTCATTCACAGATAACTTTATGCCAGTTTCTTTGCTGGACATTGGAAATACACAGTCACTTGTCCTCATGGAACATAAATATGTTAGAAAAGACACATTAAACAAATGACAGAATGCTTGGGAGTACTTAATACCCACACCTAACTTATCTGGGAGGTCAGAAAGTCCTGTTGAAAGAAGAACATTTAAACTAAGAGTTGATGTATGAATAAGTTACGTAGTTGTTGGGACTCCAGGGACAATATAATACCCAGGACAGTTTTGAGTGGTGTGTATTGTAAGAGTCTGGAGAATGAATATCTTTAGTCATGTGGGTCTTACTGCTTCATGAGCTTATCCTTCACAGACTTAAAAACTCTAGATTAGCAGCTTCTCCTTTTTTTTGAGACAAAATCTCACTCTATTGCCCGGACTAGAGTGCCATGGTGTCAGCCTAGCTCACAGCAACCTCAAACTCATGGGCTCAAGCGATCTTTCTGCCTCAGCCTCCTAAGTAGCTGCGACTATAGGCACCCGCCACCACGCCTGGCTAATTTTTTCTATTTTTCGTAGAGACAAGGTCTTGCTCTTGCTCAGGCTGGTCTTGAACTCCTGACCTCAAGCAATCCTCCTGCCTCAGCCTCTCAGAGTGCTAGGATTACTGGTGTGAGCCACCACGCCTGGCCTAGTAGCTTCTCCTTTATGAAAGCTCCTTCCTTTGAATTTCACCACTGATTCTGGCCTTGTTTTTGAAGCAGCATGTGCTGAATCTGTGCTTCTACAACAGAGCCTTTCTAATAGTCGTGAGTCTGCTCCTTTCCAGGTAAAACATTTTTTATTCCTGCACAGCTAGACCTGTCAGCATTCCTAATTGGCATCCTTTGTGGATGATCTCTAGTTAGCTGATGTGGAGCTGGGAACTGAATACAACATTCCAGGTATTGTCTAACTAGTGAAAAACACTGAGTGTTTCTGTTACTTTCTGTCATTAGACACTAGAAGACTATTAATGGAACCTGAAATTGCAATAGCTTTTTTTCCCCAATAGCTTATAAACATAGAAGTATAATTAGTAGAAGCTCCTTGAAATCACCACTTCTGAAGTACCTTTTCACTGAAATAGCCTCGATCTCTTGTTTTTTTGCAAATATTTGCTGTCTGTAGCTCAAACCCTCCTTTTTAAAAAAATTTTTCTTAAATCTTTTTTTTTAGAGACAGGGTCTTACCGTGCCACCCAGGCAGGAGTGCCATGCACGATCATAGCTCACTGCAGCTTTGAACTCCTGGGCACCAGCAATTCTCCCACCTCAGCCTCCCAAGTAGCTACAAGCCCTCCTTTTCTGACAAAACCAAAGCCACCATCATCTTTCTAAGCCCCAAGCTGACCAAAGTATACCCTTGCTCAGCACATACCTATTGAAGTACAATCCCTGGTTTCCTCAAATCCTTGGTGCCTGTCCTCCTTCAGAGCATCTGCTGTCACCAGTCCTCTTGACACGTTGCCCCAAAGGGCCTGCTGAGACAGGAAAGTCTGCTTAGTATGTGAGATAGCAACCTCAGAGCAGAGTGTCAGAGGCAGGACTGCAAGAGGAATGGCAGGTCCTGTTACTTACCACTAGCCTTGCTTCCGCTGAGGCACACAACTGAATTCAGAGAACCTTTCTGAGGCTTCAGCGATGTTAAACTAATAGCTTTCTCTAGCTTACCAGCTAATTTGCCATCTCTGCTTTAAGAAGTAGTCCCAATTCCCTTAGCACCCTATTTAATTAAACTTTGGGTGCAGCAAGTCTGCCTGGACTAACAGTGGAAAGCTGTCTGGGGAGACTAGAATAATGGAACTGTAGGGGACCATTGAAACACCTACTTTGACCTTTCCATTTCACAGATGAGGAAACTAATGGTTGGAGTAATAAAATAACTTATTCAAGATTACATAGTTAGCTAGTTGCTGAGCCCAGACTTGAACTTGAGCTCCTTGAAAGAGAAATCTATTGAGCTTACTTAAGTCTGTTTTTACACACAAACCTCCCTCTGGAGAGTATGACATTGGCACTATTAGAAGTACAAAACGCAGTGGTATTCCAAGGGATGTGGAGGTTACATTCTCTTTGGCAGGGATTGGTGCTAGATGGTAAGGAAGGGGGCAGAAAAGCTGCATGAAAGATACAGCATTATAACTAGGCCTTGAAAGAATAAAGATAAAGACATGTCTGTTCCAGAGTTAGGAAGGCAAGGGAAGGTTTGGGAATGAAAAATTATCCAGTCTGAAGGTCAGGGAATAGTAGGAGGATAGGACTTGGGATGTTGGTGGGGGACTGATCAGAAACTTTCAACATCATTTAAGAGAGTTGGAACTTTGGAGGGTTGGCAGTGGGGAAACACTAAAGAATTTTTGAGCTAGGACTGTAGAAAGATAAATATACACAGTGTATAATAATCCTAGGAAGATTACTTAGAAGACTCTTGCAGTGGAGCAGTCAAGAGATAATGTTGGAAATAAAAATGGAAAAGAAGTAGCAGGTATGAGAAACATGGCAGAGGTAGCTTCTGGAGGATTGTTTGAGTCTGCTGAACAAAGGGAGAGGCCAGCAGCAAAGGTTGGCACCAAGCCTGCAACCTGAATGGCTCAGAGAATGGTGTGCTACTTTCATCACTAAAGTTTAAGAAAAGGGATGGTTTAAGAAGGAATAAGTTGAAGGGCTTCCTGTTGTACGTATTGAATTTGAGATCCCAACAGGACTTTGAGCTGGAAGAATGTAGTGCTAATTAGAAATGCCAGTCTGGAAGCTCAGATGAGAGGGCTCATCTTGGAGATGCTCACAGTTGAAGCTGTGCGAGTGGTTAACGCTGCTGATTTGGGAGGAAAGATTCAAAAAGAAAGAACAAGGAAGGGCCCAGGACAGGATTTTGGAAATTGGTGGTGGGCTGGAATGGGAGGTATGGAAAGAAGAGGAGTTGGTGAGAGAGAGAACTGAAGAACCTGGGGAATGTGTGGTGTGTGGGAACCCAGGTGGCAAGAGTCTCAGGGAAGAGGGAGAGCACACTGGTGACTGCTGTGGAAGGCCAAGGACCGGGAGTCCTGAGGGAGGAGACTATCGGTCTTCGTCATCTTCAATTCTTTCTGATTTGGTTGGTTTTAACTTTAGGGGCTAGCTTCTTAAGTTTCTATAAATTAATAGACACACTTATATTCTTGGTCCAGCTGTGTGTCTGTGCTCAGAAACCCATGCCTGATGTGTAAGATGTCTTCGTTTCTTATTATAGAATTTTGTGAAAAGAACATACAACATATGGCCTCTGTCAAGGTTCTTTCTGGAATTTTTTTTTTTTCTTTTGTCAATTTTTTTTTTTTATTTCAGCATATTATGGGGGTACAGATGTTTAGGTTCTTTCTGGAATTTTGTGCTGAAATCCCCAGTCTGTCAATGCTGATCCTCGCCCATAGTGTGCTCTGTCCTTCATGCTGCTTCTTCCCAGAATTGGAGTTATACCTCAGAGCCGATAGACCATTTTTAATGAAACACAAAGGATGATCAGAGAATGAATGCAAGGAAGAAAGGGAGAAGGTGCTAGTATACATTGTTTTCCAGGCACCATGCTAACTACTTTGCCTTCATTATCTCGTTTAATCCTCTTAATAACCCTGTGAAGTAAGTAGTATTATCCCCATTTTACAGATGAGGAAACTGAGACGCAGAGAGGTTAAGTGACTTGCCCAAGATCACACAACTAGTAAGTAAGTGTGAACCCAAATGTGTCTGACTCCAGAGCCTGTGCTCTTTTCCATTACGTGACACTGAGGCTCTGAGTTTGGAGTTCTGAAGTCCATGTACACACCCAAGAGTCAGGGAAACTCTGCCTAGCACCCTGGGGGAAGCCAGCTTTGGGATGTTATAAATAAATGGCCGTACCCATTGCTGATACTTGTGTCATTTTTGCCTTAAGTTCTTTTTAATTGTTCACTTATCTTCTTAATTCTTCCTAAGAACTTCATGTCATTGGTGTTCTTTTAAGGTCTATTAGCAACAATTAAAGATTGATTGCCTCTGGGGAGTGGAACTGGAGGTGGGAAGGGGTGATGGGGCAGGAGGCCATTGTTTTCCACTATAAGTCTTTCCTAATAGGTTTTTTTTATTATGTTACCTTGAGTCTACAAAAAGTCCTCTAAAGATCAGTAGATACTGAGATACAATCGCAAATACTACGAATACACGAAAGAACACAATTTGCCAAGTTAATGACTGTGAGATACATTCTTATAAAATCATAGAACCTACATTTTATGCATCTGTTCTTTTATTTGAAGGTCCGTAATGAGTTTTACAAGGACACACAGGGTGTGATACTGGTCTACGATGTTGGGCAGAAAGACTCCTTTGATGCTCTTGATGCATGGCTAGCAGAAATGAAGCAAGAGCTTGGACCTCATGGAAACATGGAAAATATTATATTTGTAGTGTGTGCCAACAAGGTAACTGCTTTGGAAATGGTATGCTCAGCTTTCTGGGGGAAGAGCAATGCTCTGAGTGTTGGGGAACAGATAAAAAGAAAAGAAAAAGTCCTTATTCTGTAATACAGGCATCAACAACCTTTCAAAATGTCCCTAAGACAAAAACAAAAACCCCAAACCTGGTGTATCAGGATTTTTATTCATTTTTTTTCTGGTACCAGACTTGGGGAAGGATGTTGGTGACTGAGCAGGAGAATCCCAGTAATCACACTCTGATCTGATTGGATCATTAATTAGGTGAAATGTATACTGTGGAAAGTATGGAAAGCAGACTGTGGCCTGAGGGTATGGCAGATATCCGGAAGCCAGCTTTCACTGAGGTCAGTGGCAGCAGTTTTCCCAAGGGATAGGCAGGCACTAGTCCTGTTGCCACAGAAAATCAGTCTACATTCAATATTACTTGTTTTTTTGGGAGCGGGGAGGCCTCCCAAGGCCTCTTTTGGCCTTGGTAATTTTATACACTGGTGCTGATGTTCATTGAGAATAGTTTTGCCTCAGTAAAGGATTAACAAAGACCTCACTGGGCCTATCCTAGTGAGACAAGGTTGGAATCTTCTCTCTGCCCCCCAACTTTCTATTTCAGATTGACTGTACCAAGCACCGCTGTGTAGATGAAAGTGAAGGGCGTCTTTGGGCTGAAAGCAAAGGGTTCCTGTACTTTGAAACTTCAGCACAAACTGGAGAAGGAATCAATGAGATGTTCCAGGTAACTCAGCATTTTGTTGTTTTAAGGTTTATGTCAAGGCCAACCATGCCAATTTTTAGTTTAAATTGTGAGAAGCAAAATAGTCATAAGAACTTCTCATTAGAATAAGGTCTTTCTTTT